TGACAGGCTGAAGGAACTGGGTCTCTTTAGTCTAAAGGGAGTGTCATACAGTGTCAGGCTGAAGGAACTAAGTCTCTTTAGTCTGAAGGGAGTGACCCACACTGACAGACTGAAGGAACAGTCTCTTTAGTCTGAAGGGAGTGACCCACACTGACAGACTGAAGGAACTGTCTCTTTAGTTTGAAGGGAGTGTCCCACACTGACAAGCTGAAGGAACTGAGTCTCTTCAGTCTGAAGAGAGTGTCCCACACTGACAGGCTGAAGGAACTGAGTCTCTTTAGTCTGAAGGGAGTGACCCACACTGACAGGCTGATGGAACTGAGTCTCTTTAGTCTGAAGGGAGTGTCCCACACTGATAGACTGGAGAAACTGAGTATCAGAAGACCATGAGGAGATCTGAGACAACTCTATTCAAAGCCCTCAAAGTCACTGAAAAATTCAACCCAGCAGATTTCTTCAGAATGAACAGTAAAACACGAACTAGAGGACATATGTGGAAGAGCATTTAAAACTGAGAACAGGAGTCCCGTCTTTACACTAAGGGTGGTGGGAGTGTGGACCAAGCTGCCCTGCCATGTTGTTGAAGCCAATACCCTGACCTCTCAGGATGAGAGTCTTGGATCAATTAGCTACTAACGAGCAGGATGGGCCGTTTGTGACTTCCCCATGACTAAGAACTGGGCTGGGCACCAACCAGAAGGGAAGATGGGGGTTAAGGATGCCCATTACAGCATGTACAACTATCAGTGCTCACTGACACAGAATAAAGATTCAGATGTAATGTTCACTCATTCTTTAACTCCCTGTCAAAATTAATACATGACTCAAAGTGTACACCAGTCAAGCCAGGCACACATTAAAAATAAATCACTCCTAGTAGAAACAGGTGTACACGTACAGAATGGGTCACATTTAGATTCCAAATCCCATATTCTGAGAACAAAATCAATTCCACAGATTCATTCAATGGCTAACAGAAAAGGGCAAACTCACTTCTCTGTGTTTCACATCCCTGCTCGCCATTCTATCTCAGGAATGGGCGACATGGTGCGACTTTGCCACTCGCGGCGATCCGGTGTGACAGCTGTCTGGCCTCCCTCGAGACTAACACCCGGAGCAGCGCGGGGCGGCAAGGAGACCTCTGTGACGTCATAAGGAGCGGCGGACGACGAGGCGCGTCACGCGTGAGACTTCCTCCCGCTGACCGTAATGTCCCACGTGGCGATGATGTGAAACGTGCCGTCACTTTTTTTAAATAAACACCCCAGGACATCTTTTCGATCTCAAAGTGCCGAAGCTCTTGGTTCCTTAGGACTTTCACCCCGTGCAGAGTTTGCTTTCGAGGGGCGTTCGGTTCTTAGCAAATAAAAACGAAGCCCCCCGAAACCACAGTGGTGCCAACACGAGTGGGTGTGGGCGGAAAGATATACGTCCTGCTCATGTTGCCCCCCGGCCCGCTCTGCCGCCTCTCGCCTGTTTGAGCGGATCGTGTGTGAGTGGAGAGTGTTTGCTCTCTCTCCGGGGTCTCCGGGTCACCTCTGTACCCGCGGGGTGTCAATGCAGACTTCCGGCCACGCCTGCGCTCTGGGCTTCTGGGAGGCGGCAACCCCTGCCGGCAGTGAGCGGGTGCGGGTGATTTTTTAAGGCTTCGGGTTTCTTGTTTCTGCGGAGTTTCCTTCTGGTTTTGGTTTTGTCACTCCATCCATTTTCTAACCATTCCGCGCTGAGAGGTGGCAATGTCACCCGCATCTGATTTAATTACCTCAACATTTCAAATTCATCTCATCCTTCTGGTTTAAAAGTCAAAAAGAAGATTCCTGTCAATCCTTCAAGTCTTGCCCAGTGGCGCATATGAGAATAATAATAATAATAATAATAATAATAATAATAATAATTGCTTAAACTTATATAGCACTTTTCTGGACACTCCACTCAAAG